TTTCGTATGTTTGCTAATACCACGAGGACGAAGTCGCGGGCAACAGCTAGTTTTTTATATTTTCGTGACGAAGTTATATTGAATGTTTTTTAGTAGGAGCAACGATTCAAGAGTATTTTAGCTATTTTATAGTTTTAATTCAAGATGTTCCGGTTTAACATTTCTTTCAAGTAAATTGTTCCACACGTGTTTTTAGAGAAATGCTTTTCCTTTGCACACATAGTTAACGAAAAGCGCTTTCACGTTGGGCGTATGTTTGTAAAAGTAAAACGAGACGACTAAACGACGTGTAGGAGCGTGCTTTGTAAGGGTTGAAGGAGACTTCATTACAAAGTTTTTTTTACATATATGAAAACTGCAGTTAGGCTGTACGTACAAAATCCAGAGAAATCTTCTGTCATAAACATAAAATACTTGTTTCCCGATGGGACGACTGGAAAACATAAAACACGACGCGATATTCCCAATGGGCCGATCGAATCAATCTACACTAATATTATAAAGAGGAAAGATTAGTATTTTTCTATGTTTTTTTATTATTGTTATATGAGGTGGCAAACGAGTAAGCGGCCACCTGAATCCACCGAAATGGAAAGCGACCGTTGCCCATAAAAATCCGCAACTACAGATGCGTTGCCTAACCTTACATGACGGAGGAGTAGACGCACATAAAGAGGACATTTTCCCTTCCTATGCGTCTCCTCCACCTTTAAATCCTTCTCCTCCTTCTCCTTTCCATCCTTTCTTAAGAAAAAGGTGAAAAGGGTTAGGGACTTAAATTAGGCCTCCGGCACCACAGTCATCAGACGAAACGCGGAGTTGCTTCCACTTCACGCCTGTTTTCTATGTATTAAAGTAACTCAAAAACTACTGAACCGATCTTAAAAATTCTTTTACCGTTAAAAAGCTACGTTATCGTCGAGTAACATAGGCTTTTTAATTTTACGTGGAAGAAGTCGCGAGCAATAACTAACACAACATACAATCAATTGACGCAATGGGAATAAATACCAATAGGTTAATCGAGCGGTGTGCCGATAGACACATCGGGAAACACCCCAAAAAACTTTTCTAAACTAAATATAATATTTACAATTATATTATGGTATTAAATATGATATAATCTATACTATTATAATAAAGCGTAAACACACTTCTTTATTGCCTAAGATGTCAGCAATTACAGCATATTTTTGACTAATGCTTTTTTTTAATAAAAAAAACCCTACACTTACGTCACGCTTTAGGCTATATATTTTAACGCCATTAAACTTAGGGGGTAAATATTTTGGATAAAATCCCTAATGAGAAAAGAGACCATAAGTTACTGCCAACATCAAGAAAGCAAGGTTGTCATCATGTCATGTCATTTTGACATTTGCAATTGATAATTTGACAGATGTAAACAATAAAAAAAAATCATAATTTCATGCGGATGAAGTCGCACGGTAATAGCTAGTGTTAAATAAAATGTACGTGAGTGATATATTCTTGTTTATTTAACAAAGATAAGAGGGAATTGTTAAGATAAATTTTGGACATGGAATTTACGTTGTAACACAACTTGGTATAGAGATACGGTCTTAATGTGAATGACTGAATGGAATGGTAAGGAATCTCGAGATAAGAGAGCTAAACTAATGAACTAGTAATATAAATTACCTATTTCAGATAGTAATTCAATCTACTCAGGGCCTGTCTCACCAAATTGTAAATTGTCTGATGACATCGTGTAAAATATGTTGTGGAAATATCGGATTTTGTTACTTTATCTGACAGTGACGTCATTTTTATACTATCTGGGCCTGTATCTGCCAGTGGTGGGACAGGCCCTAATTCTATATAATCATACTAATATTATAAATGCGAAAGTTTAGATGGATCGATAGATGGCTGTTTGTTAGAGTTTGTAGCCTAAACGGCTGATTTCAATAAAATTTGGCATAAATGTAGAGGATAGTCTGGAAGAACACATAGGCTACTTGCATTTATTTTTTTTTCACGAGTCACGGACGAAAGCTAGTTGATACATAATTTCGTTTAATAGGAGAGAACATAATTAATTACCTATATTTAGCTATTTTCATAAACATTATTCATTTTTAAAATGTTAACAACTTATTAAAGGACAGATATACTGATAGTGGGAACAATCGAGAATCGCACAACTGTTGCTCGATTCTCGATTGTTTCGCAGCCAATTCAATTGTTTAGTTGCACAACTGAAATTCATGTAGTGTGTGTACATCCATATGATCTCATAGGAATCAAAGCAAGACTAAACAGGTGTGCGATATTTGAGTTTTAGATCGCCCGCTCGAAATCTCTATTACTTTCACTAACATTTAATTTACTCATATTACGTTTACCAAAACACAGTATTCTTTGTATTTTCAGAGGTTTTAATTTCCAAGAAATATGCTCAACATAAAATTTTATATTCCACTAAACAATTTTGTTTGCCTTGGCAAAGAAAATTGTTTCTTTTTAACAAAATTCAGTACAATATTTTTTCACATAATTGTTACATTAATTGTCTCTGTAGCTCGCTTGAATATCACAAATAACAATTCCTTTATGAATGTGATTCTCATTAAAATAAGTTATTGGTGCGAAAGTGTGGTTCAATATAAATGTTGAATTCCATTGCCTTGATTAATTTATATTGCTGTTGTAATTTGGTTGAAGTGGAAGAACGAATGTACTAAAAGTATCACAATGTAAGTCTATGCTAAAAAACAAAATATTCTCAAAAAAAACAGTACACTAAAAAGTAACGAAATAATTCCTTGAAAATAGTAAACCTACCTTATTGTAAGTGTT